CTACCTGTTCCAGGCAGGAGGGTTTGTGTGGTTCGCCGTTTTCGTGCTGCCGCTGCCCCGCTGCGGGAGCTGGCCCTCACCGCCCACCTCCCTGGTCTGGTCTGCCGCTGCCTCTTTGGCGCCTGGGGGTGCTACGTCTCCGGCGCCTCAGCCTCTAGGTCACCTAGGTCCCCACTCTCCGGTCCGGCTTCACTCTCCGATGCAGGTCTGGACCCTGAGCTTTTGGCTCTTTCGTCGGTCCCTCGGCCTCCACGGCCTCCCCCTCCTTTTGACTCTCCGGACCGCTCCAGAGTCTCGCTTGACCCTCTGGTGCCTCCTCCGGCTGGCCCTGTGAATCGTTGGTCGGGTCTCGGCCTTCGGCCCTCTTATCGCCCACCTTTGCTTCACACTGGTGTGCCTTCTGACTTTCGCCCCGCGCTTGCACCTTCCATTCCCTTCCGGTCGGGTTCGGTGTTTCACTCGGACCCTTCCCCGCGTACACCTCGGGCCCCCATGATGTCCTTTTCCGCAGCTCGGCTGGCGCCTCATGCCCCGGTGTACCAGCCACTCCCGTCTATCCCCGCCTCTCTGCCCCCCGTCTTCCGGGTTCCGGAGGTGGTGGCCACCACACCTTTACCCTCCTCTGGGCCTGCTGCCTTTCCGGCACCCCTTCCATCTGAGGCCCCTTCGTCTATGCGGAGTCTCGCCGAGGCTTCCATGCAAAAGCTCCGTGACACATGGTTGGACCTCATCAACGGGTTTGGTGAACACTCGTCATTGTTCACGTCGACTCGAGCTGCTTCACATCCCGAGTCCCTAATCGTCCGGGTCATTGTCTCCTTTTCGGTCAGCACACTGAGCAGGTACTTCGCGGTCTGGTCCGGTTGGGCCGCTTGGTGCGTGGTCTACTCATGCTCTCCATGTTTGCCCGCTCCGGGGGTCCTTCCGGATTGGCTCCTGGCCCAAGCCAGCCCGCAAGGTCTTGCCACTAACCAGTTGCGTGCACTCTCCTGGTTTTCTCGCCACGCCGGTCTTCCGGTCCTTCACGCCCAGATTCAGGCACCTCTCTGCCGGTCCTTTTCCCGTGCTACCCACCCTCAAGAACGACGGGAAGCCCTCCTGGTCTTTCTTTAGCTGCCGGTTTCCGACCGGTCCGAACACTGGACCGGCTACCTGACGCACTGGACGGTTTTCGCCAACGGACAAAAAGGAGGGATGACCGCTGCTTGCTGTTTAGGTCCTGCCTCGTTTTAGGTTAACCCGGTAGGAAACGGAAGCCAGAACCGAACGAACACATTCCTGAACTGTGTTGAGCAGCTTAGTCCTTCTTTTCGAGTGAGGTCTCCTCACCAATGCAGGTTGTACATCTGAGTGCTCAAAGCATACATCCGGCTTTCTATTGCCAGTGGTGGGTAGTGTACCATTCTGCTTCAATTGATTATCCTGCTGTGCATACTGCATGCTTGTTGTCTTGCTTAGCAAGAGCCAGAACGCCGAGGCAATAGTCGGTTTTGAAGTCTTTGTTGTGATATGCCTCAGCGATCACAGCTTCTCATTGGCGAACCACCACCAGGTGTCGAAACGCCCGCTTGACAGCTGACGCAGCTGATCGAATGAATGAAAAAAATGACCACCCGAGCAGATGTACATGTCCAGCGTGCTTCTGCAACGCTGCATTTTGGTTGCATCCCCAATCCACACCGACTTTGCCGTCCTCATGCAACAAATCATAACCCTCTCCTGACCGCCATCTCCCTTGATGGGGGGGTTTGCTTGCGATGACGGAGTTCCAATCATTCGTAGCTTGCATTGTGATGCCGGGTGTGTGCGCCATTGTGCGCCCATCTTTGCATGTCGTATTCTTCGTGACACACCCGTTTGACGTTCAATAAGAGAGGATCGCTTTCTTGACTGCATTGCATCGTTCGAGGTGTTTCTTGTTTGCATACCCAAACAGTTGGAAAGAAATTGGCCTTTTGAGCATTTTATTTTTTGAACATTGTGTTCGCGATGACTTTCATGTCACTGGAGTGCAGATCCATTTTCCATCGTGTCGCACTTTTGGCTGTGTGCAGTTCAGTGGTGGAGATTATTTGTCCCGCCGTTCAAAAAGACAAGACCGCTGGTTGCATCGTTTGAGGTGTTGCTCGTGTGCATACCGAAACAGATGGAGATAAATCCCTATTACTTGCCTCTGCTATCATTACTACCACAACCACTACTACGACTTCGCGCTTGTTGTTGGGACCATTTGCCCCTTTGGAGTGGGCATTTCCGAACCACATTTTGACCAGCTCATGGTTTTTTTTGGTTTTGCGAACCAAGATTTTTTTGGGGTTTCGGGGCATTCTACTACTCCTGATTGTTGGCCGCCCACTCGTTTTGGGGTGTCAATTTGTTTTTCGTTCAGGGTTTAAGCCTTTTCCAAAAATTTTTCATTTACTTTTGGATCTGACAGTGTTTGTCGATCATGCTTTATGATAGGTGGGCTACGTGTTGTCCCAATAACATACAGCACGAATCAACTGACGCGCGTCTTTCGTTTGCAGGGTCATGCATTTAAGCTTGAATGCGTGAGAAATTCTGCAGCGTAGAGGCTCGTACGGGTTGACCAGGAGTGCCACTGCCTTTTCGTCAAGGTGCGCCAGTTGCTATTGAATGCCTGACAGTTTGGACGGTTAATATCGTAAGCACCAGATTGAATAGGTCGTGTTCAACCAAGGTCACCAAAGGTGTGACCTCCTTTATTAGATTAGATCCTGTGTTGAAGTATGCTGACACATGTGAGCAGCGGACACATGTTCACCTGAATTGAACGATCGTATGTTGTCATTAATAATTGCTGCCGGGACCGCACAGCCCTGCGCAAAGGACATTACCCCTCGCTGATGCAACATGAAGTCTGCAAAACTTGTGAGCTTTTGATGACGAATGTAAACCATGCGTGTTTTGCTTCCAAAACGTGAACACCGGACCTGCGCGAGCCTTTGCCACAGGCAGTCCGCTTCGAAATGGAAGGACATCGGCAGAAGGCAAGGCATTCAGATGGACTCAAGCTGGAAAGGGAGGGTGCTATCAGATATCAGTACCCTTGCTCCTTCGTTGTACATGTTGACACGGCTCCAGCTGTGGTGGGCCCATTTTATGTTTCGTTGCATTTGTCTGTGTGGCGGTGTTGGACTGTGGTAAAGTGGCAGTGAGCACACTCTTTGCAGCGGCAGTATCTCATCTTATATACCCGCGCGGTTGTCGTTCTGGGGAAGTTTGGTAGTGAGTCAAACAGACCCCGAGGCAGCTTTTGGCCTTGCCGCGACGTCTCCACGTCAAAGCGGCGAGGGGCAGGAGTGGAGGCACGCGCTGGGGCTGCTGCACAGTTGTTGGGGCAGGAGGAGCCTCGGAACCTTGCTCTGCAAACTTCTTCAGTAAGACTCGAGTCTTTTTCAACTCCAGGTCCGGAGTCCTGCTGTGAATCTCCAGGTCCCGGCGCCTCAGCGCACCCGCAGTCGCTTCCGCCATTTGCCCAGTTCGACGATGTGCTTCGCAAGAGCCCCTCTTACAAGAACCCGCGAAAGAACTTTCCTTTGATGATGATGGATGGAAGGGCTCTGTGGGTCTGCCTTCGTGACGGTCGGGCCAGACGGGCAGTTGGAGACGCTTTCTGACTCCCAAGCCTTGCACGTATCAAGGACGTGTAGAGCCAGAGCAAAGATCCCTAGCAGCCCTAGCATTCAGCCTAAGCCCATGTTAAATCTATAGCTTTGAACCTACAGCGTGTTCAGCTCCAGTCTTAGAGCTGGCCGGGGCACCGGCGCTTTGCCAAGGAATCGCGCCACTCCCGAAAGAAGGAGGCCGGGGCGGCCTGGGTCAGCTTGTGCCAAATCCAAGTCCCGAGTCGAAGCAGCCTGATCCCTGTGGTGTCGTCCGAAGTCTTGCCGAACGCTTGCCAAGTTTTTTGAATCTGTGCTACAACAGTTCGAGGTGAACACTGGGCAGCAAGAAGATGCTGCTCGTAGTGTTACCGTTGCATACTCGGTGGCTTCGTTTTTCCTTCCAGTGGGCAGGTCATTCGGCAACCCAAGAGGGAAAGCGAGAAGGGGCAGTGGTGGGTCAGGTGCCAAGCAAACAGCAAACCGCCGTCAAGCAGATTCGGCCGCGGAGGCTAGGCTCCCAATTTTAGGAGTCGGCCTCGGGGCAAGCAAGGTGACGACGCGTCAAGCTTCCTGGCGAACAGCTCCAAGTGAAGTGGGCTACAGGCGTGCGGGTGACCCCGAAATAGTTACCTCGTACATGTTGACTTTCCTTTGCCATTGTCCTGTTGCGACAGGATTGACTTGTTTTCACCTGGATGGCACGCCCCATCCCCAGCACTAGCTGGCAAACGCCTAGGCCTAGCCACGGGCTTTATGCTGCCTTGCAGTCTAGTAACTCTCAGACCGAAATGTACAGTTCAGAGCACCCAAGGTCCAGGAGGCACCCTGGCCCCAGGAGCCCGTGGAAGGCCTGTGCGGGAGGGCAACATGGCAGGACATTCTCCTTGAGCCTTAAGCCCTAGATGCAATCCACTCCAAGTGGGTTTGTCCAACGCTTGGCAAGTAGGTAGGTCTAGAAGATGCGATGCAGGATTAGCAGGCAGGAAGAACGGCGGCAGAATTCAATGCAAGACACTGTGCTACAGCCACAGGCTGGCTCCCGGTGGTACCTCGAGGCTTCGTGAAAGCGAGCGAGCTGGCGCCAGCCTGCCCGCTCAGGCTGTTGGTTCTTTCGTCTAAACCTATAGGCAGAGAGTTTGCTGCCAAGGCGCCGGCGGAGGACTTCTTCATGATGCATGCTTCGGCCATCTTCGGCCTTGCAGTGCAGGGGGCGTATCACGTCAGTTTGACTGCCATAGACTTGCACGAAGCACCAAGTGCCAGGATGAGCCTGCGCTTCTGACGCCTCCCCCCTCTTCCTCACGAGGTCGTCGTGGGGTTGTGCCAAAGCTGATTTTGAAGCGCACGAGCCACCCGAAGCGCGCGAGCCAGGCTCTCCGCTTAGCAACTGCAGCAGCTGTTCTCCGCAGGCCGGGTTTCGGTCTCGGGATTCGGCATCTCGGTTTTAGGTGGTGTATAAAGGAGGGGCAATGGAATTCCTCCCCGTCCCTGCCAGGACAAGCTCGTCGGGAGCCTGATCTTGTCGAAGAGATTGAGTCGGGAGCTGCGAATTTTCCGTCCGGCAACGAATCAAGGACCAGCCGTCTGCTGCAAGCGCGCGGGCGGCATTGCTAGCTCTGCGAGAGGAGCACGTACGCGAAACGCTCAGGAGCGAGGATGTCCGGTGCATGTGACGAGAATCCTGTTGTCATTCCAGTTTGTGTTGAGCTTGGTGCATAAGGTTTGCGGGAAGCCAACATACAGCTCCGAGAGCGAGAACTTAAGAAAAGGCTCGCAACCACAGTGACAGCGAGAGAGATTGTAGGGCTTCCACATCTCGATCAGGCAGGATCTTGACAGCCTGAGCCGTGCCCGCGATCTGACGGCGAAAGAGCGCCTCCCCAAAGCATGGGCTTTAACTCAGGAAAGTAGAGGCCTGCAGCAATGCCGAGGTTGACAACGGTCCAGGCAGAGCTGAGTTCAAGCAAGCAGGCCGGGCATTGAATGCAGTGCGTCCCAAGGCTTTGAACCCAATGTCGCACCGCAACTCGTGAGGACCTGGAGCATGCGCACGAGGAGCTGCGAGTGCTGCAAAAGAAGCTGGAGCTCTGTCGCGAGGCAGCCTTGAAGTCCATGCCTTCAGATCTGGTGATGTTGAGGGGTTGACCATGGTTGTTTCTCTGGCAGGCTGTCGTGACAGCTGTGAAGAGAGCCTTGATAGCAGATATGCAGTGTCAGGAGTGTGGTCTACTTGTATCAGCCGGATGGTCGTCGAATCATTGAATGGCTTTCTGTCTTGAGGCATAGACGCAGTGTACGAGGAGGTGCCTGACGAGGATGGGAAGGCACGAGAATGTGTCGCAGTGCCCGAAGTACACCAAGTATTCAGTTGGGGTTTAGTGCAAGGATGCCAACCTCAGGGACGAGGCCGGACACTCCACGTTCGGCACGTGCTGTGGCTGTGGTCCGGTGGCTGCGGGGTGTTGGCGGAGGCTCAGCAGTTGCGCGGCAACGAGCAGGCTCCTGCGTATCGGCGTAGCGGAGATGTCGCGGGCCTTTTTTTCTCTTCTGCGCAGGCCAAGCAGAAGGCGGCCAATGCCATGGACGCCGACAAGGCCTCCTTCGTCTGTTTCGGCTACTAGCGGCTGCGGTGTATTTCTGCGGTCTGCTGCGCAGTGAAGCGGCGAAGCGGCAGGCCATCTCGGAGCTTCTGGCAGTTGTGGGCAATCCAACAACGGTCTTGCCAGAGGTGGTCGAGGCCGCCTGGGGCCCGGCCCAGGCCTTGTGGGACGTTTTGAGCCCGGTGCCAGGAGAAGTACAAGACTTCTGGGGAGAATGCAGATTGCGGAGCCATTCCGGCTATGGCCCTTCGGTAGCCCTTCAGATTCAGAGCGTACCAGAGTCCTGCAGCGCCTCAAGACCCAGAAACGAGCAATCTCCTGCATGCTCATTCGCGCACTCGGAGTTTGAGACTCATTTGAGACCTGCGTGTATGAGCTCAACAAAAGCACAAGCTAGCGAGTTGCTTTCACAGAAATCCGAGGAGAAGTTGCTGGAGATGAAGGTGTGTGTGTGTGTGTGTGGCGCATGCTTATTTGCGTGGCCACAGGGGGTTCCCGATTGCCGTTCACCGGAAGAACCCCGAGCTCTGAGTCTGGAGGTGCGCTGCAGTCCGACCAAACAGCCCGGAGACCAGCGAGCCGCGCCCACAGGAGCACAGGATTGCCCCATGCGGCCCATGCTTCATTTGTTGTCGTCAAAAGTCGAGCAAGCCAGCTCGGTGACAAGGCGCCGCTGCGAGATCTCAACCGAGCCTAATGCCGCCAGGTGGCTCGTTCACTGCGGTCGTGGTGTCAGTGTCACCAACAGAGGTTTGTCCAGAAAAAGGATGCCCCTGCATTGTAGGAGGGACTCTTCGCATTCCGCACTCCCAGCCTTTTCGGGTCTTCGCTCGCAAGCGATTGTCAACTTCCAAAGCTCAGTTGGAACTGCTGACTGAGCAGCCTTGTGCTTAGCTGCAAGGCCTGCATGGTGCTGAATTCCTTTGCCAAGTTGCACCAATTCGAAATTTATGGCGTCCCGGCTGCCTTGCCGGGACGCGCTCGCAAGCCTTCCCCAGCCCAAGCTGAACGAAATCGGAACATCCCAAGAAATTTATGAAAAGTGTAGCGAGGAAGGTTCTGCGGACTAGGACCTCTGATTCGATGTGCCTCCTGACTCTGCAGAAATGGGATTTGGGCTGTGTTTGGAGTGAGCATCTCTGCCGGCAGGAGTGTTGATTTGCAGTTAATCGGCCTGCTCCTGGCTTACCAGAAGGGATGCGGTGAGACTTGCCTCCCGCAACCCATCCGTGGGCAACTTCGCCCATCGAACGTGCGATGCTCGTCTGGCTTGCTTTTTGAATTAACTCTTGCTTAGGTTTCAGGGCATGGTTTTTGCAGTTGAGGTAGATGGGCCTCGGGGCGTCTCGACAAGGCCGACTGCTTTTCGGCGTTACAATTTCTGCAGATTGCAGAAACCGCCATTTCCGCTTGTCAAGGTTTTGACGATTTGACTCTGTAGACATATGGTGTGTCCTGCAGCCTCTGCGCTGCACAGATCCTTTCCGCAGCAAGGTGCACGTGTTTGTAGTCTGCGACTACAAACAGTAGAATGATCCTTGCCCTTGTCTCTACCGAACGAGCGGAACCAAGGGCCTCTCGCACTTGTGAAACTTTGCAGGCCTTCGTGTTCTCAGCGCATTTGCAGCATGCCTGCTGACGGCTGACATGCCCTCAGATGATGGTTGGGGCGCAGTTGCACACAGCATAGGAAGGATTCGGCGATGTTCGGTCAGTTTCAGGAAGCACTATCTTTAGGTGCAGATCTTCCAGGCCCGTGCTTCATTCAGTCTGCAAAACCCCGATGTGTTTCCGGAGACTCGCACAAAGAGCCTCCTGCTTGGCAGGGTTGCAGGATGTGAAGCTAGATGTGGACCCAGCGACAGGCCTGGTACGCCACATGCCAGCATCAGAGCCGGTCCTGTTTCTCTCATCTCTGTGTCTCCTTCAGGATCTGCCTCTTACTCCGTGCCCCTGAAGAGAAGGCGACGGCAGGCCAGGCCGGACTTCCAACCAGCCTCAGCCTCTGGCAAGCCTGACTCCATCAGCCTGCCCCAACGTCTGAGGCCTTTCAACACAGCCGAGCCAAACCTGTAGCATCCCGTAGCACTGCGCGCAGCTTTTGTCAACTACCCTCAAGCTCGTTCATAGCTTATAGGAGGATTTACAACGGTGCTTTTCCACTCCACCTATGAGTAGCCTTAGTAGCCGTTAAGCCAACTTAATTTCGAGCACATGCTGTCCAATGCCGACCTAGAGCATCTCCTAGAAAGCGATGGAGATGGATTGGAGGTGCGCCGGGTGTGGGTGCCGGCGAGAGGTTGGGCATCGGTGAGCCGAGCACAGAACAGGCTCCTGGCTCCAAGCAGGAGGAAGCCAGCAAGGACGCGGATGCAGAGGAGTCCAGGTCCGGCTTGGATGCGTTTGTGAACCTCTTTTCATTCCGGCAGACCCTTGCATGACTTCGTTGTGACGGCAAGCTTTTGCCAGAATGGACGTTTCCATGGTAGGTGCAAGGAGGAGGCCGCCAGCGAGGTGGTCCTCTGCGATGGGGCCGTGAGGAACACGCTGCGCAGAAGGCTGCCTGAGAGCGTCCTGGTGCAGCTGATATTGGACTGGCCATGACTCGCTGCAGGGCGGCGGCTCAGGGCTCCCGCATAGGCCGATGTACTGGTAGTTTGCCGGATAATCGGTAAAAGGTGGAAGTCTCATTTGCGAGGCGATGGCTGCATCATTGCCTATCGCACAGCTGAGGGGCAGCCTCTGAGCGAGGCCGTCGCCCCGGCCAAGGACCCCGTCACTGGGTCCTTGCCTCCTTGTCGCTTCAGGGAGGTTTGGAGCGTTTGGCCAAGGTCGAGGTTGGTGCCGCTGCGTTGCCATGGGCGCTGGAAATCACTGCCCGAAGACACCCGGCGGTTCCAGCACGAAATCACCTCTCAAGATCTCTCCAGCCGGTCCCCACCACTCAGACGATCGTGAGACCTTTGCCTGTCGTCCTCAGGAGTGCAAGTCGGCGATGTGGTGGACGTCGACCCTCGTTTGCCAGATTGTGTGCACTTTCACCTGGTCAATTCCAGCACTTAGCATTTTCTCAAACACACGGTCTGCAGCTCCGTGACGGCGAGGTGGGCATCGGGGAGCATGCCCTTGCGGATGAGGAGAGTGCCCCTTCCGAAGGTAGCGACCTGGAGCGCCGCTGGTCTTGATATGTCTTGATCGGCTTTTACAAGTACCATTCCTGCACCGTCGCGCCTATTCGATTTCGAGCTTGAAGCCCTGAGGCCGTTGGAGATTCGAGATCGCAACCGTGCGGGGCAATCAGCACGACAAGCTCCTCGCCGCAGTTCTCAGGCTCTCATGAGATTCCTAGTCCCCATCTGGCCTGGTATATAAACTGGTAGACCTGCACTCAGCTGCACCATGCCTCTGGCAAGCACAAAAAAATAGCAAGACCGAGGTTCCGCATGTCGGTGGACGAGCGGATTGACATGGCAAGTCGGTTGCGCGTCCTGCTTGCAAGAGCTTAGGGTGACGTTGCCTGGTATTGTGCACTAGACAGCACTCGGCTGTGCATCCAAGGTGAGCGCGGCAATGCGATGCTGAAGAGAGGTTTGCCCCCTGCACGTGTTCAGATGTCTTGCCGACAGTTGCTTGTGAGGACGCCTGCAGCGAGCGGCGGACTACTACGAGAGGGGATCCTCGCTGATGGATGTTATCGAAGCCGAAGACATGGGAGGCATGGGTGGAATGGATGGAATGGGTGGCATGGACGGAATGGGCGGAATGGGCAACATGGCGGGCAAGGGAGGCAGGGCAAGCGTATGATGATGAGATGTGGTGCTTAGCCAACACGGTGGTGGGGTGACAGGCGGCAAGAAGGACGAAAAGGCGGTCGCCAACAACAAGAGGATTCGCGAGTGTCGAAGCCTTACAGCAGAAACAGGACTGAATTTGTGTCTCCAGAACGTTTCGAGAGAGGCCAAAAGCCGATCCTTCTGAATTGGGCACTGGTCCTCATGAAGAGGAGCTTTGGCTTTCTGCATTGAGGGAGGCTTAGAAGAGGTGAGACGGTTCGGTCGCGACTTTGCCAGGAGCTGCTGGCAGGAAGCGGAGCGGAAGTGTGCTGAAGTGATCCTGGATATCGACGGCTGCTGCGTCTCCGTCTTATGGACTGCAGTACCAAAAAAACAGTGTCATGTAACATGTCGGAGTAGTGGCTGCAGGTCAAGGCGCTGTTTCGACGGGGACAGCGGGCTTCTCATGCTGTGGTTGTTCTCAAACATCACTCGCTCGCTTCCCCGATCCCGCGATCTCTCGATCTCTGTCGATCTCTGTCGCTCTCGCTTTTCTCTGCGTCCCTGTGTCGTCGTGTGGGCTGGAGGGGTGGAGGGCCTGCGGTCTCTGAGGTGCCAAGTGCAGCTGGGAAACCTGGAAGAGGCAAAGAAGGAGTGAATTTCCTGGTCTGATGTTGCAGCGGGTTTAGTCACCGAGTCATGTCGTGGAGAGATTCAGCACTTTAGTTTCGAGTCAGGACCTCTTAAAAGCGCGAGATCTCGACGATTCCATCGCGTCGGACGTGGAGAAGGAGTTGGCAAAGCTAAAGCGTCAGCAGAAGGCAGGGGAGGGCGGGGCCGGGCGCTGGACGCAAACCGAGACACTGGCAGTCAGCGGCAGCGTTGTCACCTGTGAGTTCCTGTCGATCTACCTCAAAGAATTGAGTAGTGCGAACCCAAGCTTGCTTGAGCCTGAGGTTCTGGACCGTCGGGATCGTGGCTGGGCACAGAAGGCATTGGAGCAGCTCTCCCGAATTGGCAGGTTCTTGTCTGGGTCTGAACTTGCCTTGTTTTCACTCAGGCAAGGTCTTGCAGATGCGCGATCTGCAGCGAGCACTGGCCGTGAAAAGCCTGAGGCATCTCGCCAAACTGGCACTATTACTACCGTAGCAAGAACAAGAGTCTGAAAGAATCGCGGCACCGCATGAGCTACTGGTGCTGTGCATTGCTGCGTTGAAGGAGAACACGGACGACGGCATCGAGTGTAGTGTCAAGGACTCTGCACCTGTTGTTCATCAATGTGTTTTCCTACTCTTGCGTTGCAGTCGCCGCAGCAGGGCTCAATTCTGATGTCTAGAGACATTGCATGATACTTGTAGTGCCGCTTCATCTTCATGCCACTGTGAATTTGATGGGTCCCTGGGGCCTTGCTACCAAGCGATGCCAGGGGCGGCAGGGGCCGTGCATCAGTTGGTTTTTGGACTTGCTTTCAGCTTTGCCAGCGCACAGGGCAACGAAGCATGTTGGCGAGTCGGCTTCTCTTACGACAGCTGCTGCAGTCCGCCACGGCCTGACTGTTTCGACTCTCTGTACACCTATGAGGTTTGCTGTCTAAATGATGGTAGTGATTCTCAGTTGCCACAAGACTGCCATCGCAAAGAAGACGTGCCAAACCTGCCCCGGCAGCTGCAGTGTCGTGGAACCCATTGGGTCACTGCCGATGAATGGGCTGGATTCTTCTGGGCACACCAGCTGTCACAGGCACTAGGAACCTCATTTCTTGGTTGGCCAAACATAACTGCACTGTTACACAAAGCCAACGAAAGCATGCAGGCAAGGCATGCGAGTGAGGAAGACTGCATATTTGGTTTTGCAGCAGTCATTCTCCACAGCTTGGCAGGAATTGAAAAAGCGGCAGGTAGTGATGCTGCGAGAAAAGCGAGCAGTTATGCACATCGCCTGCTGCAGCGAGCAAGTGGCCTGGAAGACTGCCGCTGGTTGCAGATGATCAACCACGATATGTTTGATCACTATAACTTGGTGATGGGCTTGGAGGGGCGGTTCCATGGCTGGTGCCCTCCGGATGCTCCACGGGTTTATGTCTACGACATGGGTGACCTGGCGGACAGGCCGATCTCCTGTGCTCGGATTGGCTTCTGGGGCTCGGAGGTCTACATCGACCGCTTCTTGAGACATGCTGGCTGCCGCACCCAGGATGCAGAGGCCGCAGACTTGTGCCCCGTTCGGCATCTAAATAAGAAATTCGCAGCACATCCTGTTTTCGAGGTTTGTTGGTACAGCCGTGTGCAGAGTCAGGTTCTTCATCCCTCTGTACCTCACCTGCTGGGAGCTGCAGGTTGGCAAGCATCTCACGAAGGAAGCGAAGTTCCTCAGCTTTTCAGCATTGGATGGCGTTTTGATTCGCTTTTGTCGGTGAGACCGAGGCTCATGGCACTGGAGGAAATGCATGATCGCATCTCGAGTTTGCCGTACCTTCAGAGGCGCCGATAACCTCCTAATGTATCCACTGCGGTAAGCCTGCATCTCTCCAGGAAGGAGGGGCTTGACCACGTGTTTCTCTTCGGTTCCTCCGTATGGCAGCTGCATAGGCACGTCCTTGTTGTGCTTGGGTTCGCCGCTAAGCCTCCTGAAGCAAACGGATATTTCTTGGGTACTCTATGGTAGGTGGCGCGACCTATTCCCGCGGTCGATCCTGCTTGTCGTGGAATCCGAGCCCATCGAGTGTAACAACATCCCGTGGGACGACAGTTTATGCCTGTGCCTCGAGACAACGCGATTTCCGAGTTGCAGTTTTCGACTAAATGGCTTGCGCTGCTGTAGTGGCTCCAGCCAGACTTTAGAGTCTCCTGTCTCCTGCCTCCAGTCTCTGGTGAAACGATGGCAGGTTGCTGCCCCCCAGATTCCTGGCCAGCTTGCCAGAAGCCGGATGACTACAAGCCCAAGGGCACAGAGACAAAGATAGGCGAGCTGCCAGTGTACAGCGTGGGCACCGGAGACAAGGCCATCTTGGTACTGCCCGACATCTTCGGCTGGTCGTCCAACCAGGGTAGGCTTATGGGCATCGCAGACACCCTCGCCGATCAGGGGTACCGAGTGCTGCTTTCAGACCCATTCTACGGAGACTCTGCCGTGGGGAAGGAGGATATCATGGGCTGGATTACACAGTTTCCTTTTGAAAAGAAAATTGGTGCCGACATCGAGGCATGTGTAAAGCACCTACAAGATCAGGGCTGCAGCAGTGTGGGTGCAGTTGGCTTTTGCTGGGGCGTCTGGGCATTTTGCAAGTCTGCCTCCATGGGCGTGCCTCTGAAGTGTTGCTTGCAAGTGAAGTAATCAGCAGCTCTTTGATCGAATATAAGGAAAATCTTAGATCTCCGATTTGACCTGGGATCCTGCGAGATCATTCTAGGCGACACATGACACCGCTGCTGCGATCCCAGGTGGTGTCGGACCTCATCCCAGCACACGACTGGAAGGGGCATTCGGCGGAGATGAACAGGCAATGATGGACAAGGTCAACATGCCAGTGCCCATCCTTAGCTGGAGTATGAAACGGGTCGAATCCTTGTTGTGCTGTGTTGAGAAGATTTGGTCAGATTTGGATCCCAGACTTCACTCATGACAGCTACAGGTCGAAGTTGATCTTCAGTTCGTTGAAGGGCCGTGACATGGAAGGGCCTAGGACGCTCTCCAAAGGTGCTCATCATGCCAGCTGGCAACGACCCGGAAAACCTCAAGGACTCGCATGAAGAGTCACAAAGAACTTGTCTGCACCGAAGAACAGACCAGAGAGCCAGCTTGTGGGGCCAGCCTCTGCGGCAGCTGTGCTTCGTGCTTGCTGTGGCGGGCGCCTTTCGGCCCACATGCGTCATTGTAAACGAGAGGAGGGCGGCGCGATCGCCGAGTCCCTGGCCAAGAAGGTCCACCACTTCAGTCCTTTGCGCGTCATAGTCATGAGATGACTGCCGTGCTGTCTTTCTGTCGCCAGGGTGGAAAGTCCGTGACATTCCCGGACTGGCAGTGCAGCTCATGGCTCGCGAAAGCTGTGAAAGAGATGCCTGATGCACGGAGACGTGCAAGACTCCTTGCAGGACATGCAGCACGGCTGGTGCTGCCGTGGGGACCTCGGTCAAGCGGAGGTGAAGCGGGATGTGGAGGCAGCGATGTTGCTCTGCTCGACTTATGCGACACACATAGCTGCACTGAGCTTCAGATTGTCTGTTCATGAGCTAGCACGACCTGGAGCTACTTGTACTTCATTATCAGAGCATGGTCCCCATGGAACGGGTTTTAAGTCCCCTTGAAGTCTGGGTCGTCCCAAGCATCCGGCTAGCGCAGGGGCCATTCGTAGAGTATGAGTAGGTCTTAACAGGAAAGCACAGTCTTGCAATGCTGAAGAATTCGCAATGCCGGCAAAGCATGCTGCGTGTCCTTGGTCGGGGCTGAAGCCAACTGAGGAAGCACATGGTAGACTTCTTCAAGTCCAACCTCTGAGGCGTCGGCTTGATCTGCGTAGTATGGATCATGGGCATGGACTCTTTACTTTTGAGAAAATTTTCACCCCGTCACAGAGCTCGAGGGATGTTGCGAAAATGCGCCGCAGAGGGCTTGCCCCTCGCTGTTTTCCCCGCGAGTCCCGGGGCACTGTTGAAGACCGAGGCTGGCACTGCAAGGACTGCTTCCAGCCCTGGAAAGACCTGGTGGTGCCTCCCCTGACACCTCTCACCGGTGCTCGTGGCTTGGTCGGGAAGGATGTGGAATGATGTGGAGGACGCTTCAATGAGTGTGCAGACCTAGGCAGCCTGATGGCTAAGTCCAAGCCCTTCTTTCAGCGCAAGTTCCTCATGACCTGAGCTTAGACCGGTGACAGATGAAGTGAGCCGTTTGGCTCAACCATGAACCTCGGAAAGCGTGTCGTCAGGACTTGGAGGGGCCAACATGCGGAGTCCGGCCTTCCAGAGGTGCGCAAGGCCTATTTGGTCACCAACGAGACGGTGCGCACCGCACTGATCCACAACTTAAGTGTCTCGTCAGAACCGAGTGTTGGAGGAGCCCAGTGAACTTCAAGAGCCACATTCCGTCCTCAGGTCATCTCCCGCGTGTGTCTATTGGCTCCCCTGTATCCGGCTACGCGGACCTCATGGGCAACTCCAAGTTCTGCTTATGCCCCAAAGGAACCTCAGACTCGCGTTTCCTCTGTGGGAAATCGGCAGCCCTTTCTTCGAAGGAGCCAGCTCTTACACTTCGCGCCTCTTCGAGGCACTCTTTGCCGGCTGCATTCCAGTCATCCTTTCAGACCACTTGCGCCTCCCGGCAGCAGTTGTAGCCGTTCGAAATGCGATCTGCGTGTTCCCGCATGGTTGAATCCACAGATGAGACAGGTCTACCCTTCGACCACGTCGTGAACTGGTCCGAATTCAGTATTCATTGGCCCATGGAAGAGGCGGCCCAGTACTCAGCTTTGTGAAGAAATCCCTTTGAAGCTGAGTGGGTCTGTGACATAGCTCCAAGGACCTCAGCCTCTATCGGTATCTCCAAGGCCTCAATACAATGAGCTCCATCAAGACCAGTGCTGACACTGTGCCCCGTGGCAGGGCGGCTGGAGCACGATGCTGCCGGGATCATGAACCTGCAGCGCCGAGGGGGGGAGTTGCGCTGCTGGTTCGATTACTTCTCGCAAGAGGAGGTGGGAGGGAGCGGAAGACCGGAATCATCCGGAATCAATGGGCTGCCGGCTGCCGTTCGATTTTTTGAGGACCCACAAAAGTGCTCTCCGTATGCTGCGCTGCTGCGCGGCCTGGGCCAGCGGGTTGCCGGGCTGACTTTTTGCATGCTGACGGCTTCCGCGCGTGGCCACTGCCTTGCAGCCTCAGGTGGCAAGCATGCCGCGGCCTCGCCTGGCAGTGAGAAGCGAGCAGACAGCGAGCAACGAAGAGAGAAAGGGAACTACTGCAGGGACGCACCTTCCCAAAGCTGCCGAAGCATCCTTTCAGATCGAGTGGTCAGGAGAGCTCCAAAGCGAGACTCATGCCCTCGACCAGCGACGCAGCAGGCCTTGGAGGGTTGAGAGCCGTCCTACCCATGGAGTTCGGGCTGGGCTGAAGCAGTGGCTCTTCGATTTAAATTGAACAATGCCCTGATTGGGCTTGCAGAGCATGTGCCCAAAATTCTTGACCGCCACTCAAGTTGATGACCTTGAGAGTGGCTTTTCACAAAACCCCATTCTGCTTTAGTGAGCATTGTAAAGTTCACAAATCCACCGGATCCTACCACAAGTAGTAGGACCTCTAGGCTTGTCACCGGACCAGGTGCATCTCTCGTTGAGCCTCTTCTGCAAATTCGAAGCCTAAGTGCCTCCACCTCTACGAGCTTGATGCGAGCGATCCCAAGGACGTACTTTCCGCTCAGGAAGAAGCTGCTCGGAAGGACCGACGGTTGTCGTCGAGACGTGCTTCCTGCACCATCCTGCACCATGGGTCGAAATTTGCAGCCTAGGCTCATAGAGTCCTTGTCCTTCCGTGTCAGGATGGCGTAGATGAGGACACATACTGCCGGCAAAGAGAGGCCTCACATTGCACATTGGGAGTGGAGGGAGCAGGCTGTGTGCAAGCCTTGCCAGGCCATCTACAACCAGTTCTTGAAGGGCAACAGGCAATCGATATTCGATGGCGATGAGGATTGAGTCTTCAAGAGGTATGACAACAATTGCGTGCTTGGTTGGAACATGCTCGGGCTGGGATGCCTGTCCTGTCTGCAAGCCGGAGAGTGTTTGTACTATCAATTCATGGGCAAGAAGGGCCGGAAGGATTTCAGGATGGCACGTTGCTAACGTCGCCCGCGCCAGCTGTGGGTTCCATACAGTCATTGTGATGCTCGAATCATGTATGGAAACTGGCAACGTCTGCAAGCTGGCGCAAAGCAGAGCCCCGATCGACCTCCACCGCATAAGGCCCCCAGTCCCAGTCTGAGTCTTTTGACTGGAGGCCACCAGATGCCGACTGAGCTTGTGTCGGCTCTTTGGCACTGCGGCGCGCTGGACAAACCCTGCATGCATCGTTTAGAAAGAGCGCTCCAATCAGCTGTCCTTCAGCTTCCGCACTTTGAAACTCCATGTTCCGTACCTCTGAGCCTTTGCGAGCTCTGATCAGGCCATCAGCTTCTCGCAGCAGAGAAGCCTTCGCAGCAGTGCCAGGAAAGGAAGTCTCTGAGTCTGTGAATCGTTGGCCTGAAGCACGCAGCATGACCCCAGCGACTTTCCGATCGCATGTGCTCCGGGAGCCCTGTTGAAGGCTGCAGAAGGTTGTGGCAAAGAAGGAGGACACCCGTTCCTCCGTGGCTCGGCCGGCCAGCAGATTGGGACTCCAAGCTTCTCCACACGCGGTCGCCAACAGCGGCTTTTTTCTGTAGAGTCTGTAGAGTTGGTGGCTTGTCCCTTTCATTTCTTTAGTGAGTCTGCAGTGTGAGTCTGTGCTCACAATCGAGACCTCTTCGCCTTTGGGCCGAGGGCTCCCAAGCCAGCGAGTACTACGGCATCCTGCGTGTCGGGACCGGTTCGAGGGCCTCGGCTCTGCCCCGGTAGGCACTTTGTGTCGTCATAGCTGTAGGACACCTCCTCAAGAGTTCGAGGTTGTGTTCGACACAGGCCAGCTTGTGATTCGAGCAGGGATGACCTTTGGACAGCACAGTCGAGCGGAAGGCAGTGGCAACTTGATCATACCGTCAACTGCCTGCGGCAGTGATGCGCAGCACTCGGTGCCGAGACGAAGTGTCGAGCCCCAACCTGGGTCCAGTGATGACCCGTGACACGTGTCAGCCATCGGAACCTTCAGTTCGCAGCAGGCATCTGTGCCTCGGGATCCAACGACACCTTCTGTAGATTGTTTTGTGGGCACCCTGTCTTCAGGCATGCCGGATGCACCGGCGCTTCAACAGCACCGCATCACGCCTGCGGGCCCGGAAGGAAAGCGTGCATTCTTCGGAACTCTGAGAGCTGTTGGCTTCTGAATTCTTTATCAATGAGCTCGCTCGAAAGAGATTATTCTTCCCAGGGCCCAGGGCACAGCACGAGGTTCCTTGATAATGCAGACGGTGTCTACGAGAGATGCCTTCAAACCAGAACACAATTGCGAAGGTTGCACTGCCGAGTGTTGAGCCGATCGACAGCGGAAATCTGAAAACCGAAAGCGAAAAAACTTATGTTCTGGAAGCTGGTATGCCATGGTATGCCTGTCAGATCCTGTGAGCACCCGCCCAGGCACGGCCATCGATGTGGCATTTGCCCGGCACGAAGAGTCTGGAGTCTAGACTTTGGAGGTGATCAGCAGGGGTTGAGAGGTCACGCGAAGTAGACACGTGGGAGCGGGCGCATGAACGGCCCTCTGCCTGGGACTGGCTGATGGGGTTATGAGGCAGGGTGAGGCTGGAGCTAAGAACAGCCACGGCTTCCCCAAGGCCGAGAATCCCGATGATCAGGCCTCTTCGCCTCTTCTCTTCCGCAAGACTACACCCATTTCGTGACAGGAGCATAACCTGTTTGCAGCTTGAAACTCTGCGCGCACTTTGCTCGCTGGCCGTTCGTGCAGAGAATGACGACCACGCACATACAGCATGAATTGAAGAAGCTGGTGTCGAGCTATGATCCACACGACACGCTGTACCATTACACCGCCCCCCCCCCCCCCCCCACAACATGACTTGAACTCTTTTTTGAGCGCCACACCCCGAAGCCTGGGCCAACCCCGCAGTCAAGCCCCCATAGACGAGTTGCAAGCGAAAGTAGGTTTTTATTTAGATCGCGAAGCAGCCGGATGCTATGAAGGGCCGGGGCCACATCAGCACTTTTGTTCGTTCCAAGCTCGTGAAGTGCACGCCGCCAGGCCCGTGGGCCCAGAGCTCAGGTAAGGGCTACATGGGCTCCATGGGCCGGCCAGGAGGCAAAGGCCCGCTCCCGAAGATGCCGACACGCCATGACACGCCCCACCCATGCAGCAGATTCCACTTCAGGTTACGGCTATGGCGGCTTCGGCGCGGGCTATGGCGGTGGTGCCGGTGGTTATGGAGCGGATGGTGGCAGTTCCGTTTTCACCCAGCCCGGCTACGGTGCTGGTGGTGGCTACGGTGGTGATATGTATGGGGGCTATGGTGGCTATGGCCCGGCCGCACAACAAAGTGAAAGGCTGGAGTGGTGTGCATGGCAAGCTGGGAGCATGTTCTTGACGGAATAATTGCTGGGTTTGTTCAGATATGGTCCGTACTCGACTGGCGGTCTGAGCCCTACTCGCAAACGCCACGCGAACTTGCCAAGGCGGCTTGTTTCACGCCTCTTTCTGTGCGTTCGAACGCATATGCTGAGGAGCAGCAGGGCCTTCCTGGCAGGCCATCGGCGTGTCCATGTGAGGGAATCAGCGCCTAAAAGCATACTGCCTGCGACTCTTTTTGCAGGATGGAGCTGGGTATGGTGCGGAAACGGAGAAAGATAGGCCCGGAGGCCCAAGCCGTTTTTCCGTCGCGGCAAAGCTCAGGCTTCTCTCTCTCTCTCTCTCTCGCTCGGCGACCTTCTTCCAAGGTTAGTTCGCTCGATCAAAGATATCCAGCGTGGGTCGCTCAAGTGCTCAGCTGCCGAGCATGCGTCCAAAACCCTTGGTCCTGTAGGTTCTGACTGACTAGGCGATGCTACAAAAACCCCCCTTCCAGCCTGCAGAGAGCAGCCAAAGTTCGGATAAGGCAGCGACCCAGCAGGGAAGGAGCAGTGGGAGCGGCAGTCGCCCCAGTCAGGAGCTGCATCAGTTCTCGAAAGCTAGCAGAGACTTCCTGCAGGTTTGCGGATGCTACACGGATGGGCAGCAGAGATCCCAGTGCTGCGCTGAGCGCTTTCACCGCGATGGCTTTGGCGCTGGGCGGTGAGAGCTTCGGCTTGCCCTGAGGCCGGCACCCGGAGGAGCATCTCCGGAGCTTCCTCGAGGCCAGGCAAGCGGGCAAGGCCCGGCCCCCCGCTGCACTGCGCGCCTCCGCGAGATCAGCTGGAGCTCTCATTCAAGAGGGGTCGCATGTCTACGGTGATATAGTCAGGGTGACGTCCAATGCCAACCGCAACAGACATGAGCGTTACGCAGGCGCCGGAGCAAATGGTGTCTCAGCTGGGCAGCACCCGCTTCATTCGCCTACGAGGTGGGTGTCTTTGCAGATCAAGGTTTCCAATGTTGCCACCGACGTACGTGGAGTCATGTCGCAGTGCAGCAGTTCGTGCCGTGCCAAGAGGATCCAAGAGGCGAGTTGGAGAGAGTGGCCGTGCAATCGTGAGCTCATCTTCTGGCCTTTTCCATGTCCACAGCGTGTGATGCATCCTAGTTTCTACCCACAACAAACCAATAATAAATCCACAAAGACAATTGGCAACAAGAGACACAGAGAGAATGGGGCAGAGCCGCAGACACAGACACAAGCGCAGACAGAGAGAGAGTGAGAGTGAGACCTTGACTTGTTGTTTCGAAATGTGGGGGCTGAGCCACTCCAACTTACCTTTGTTCTTGAACAGCCGAGCTTCGGGGGTAATAATCATCTCAAAGACAAGACGCCCGTGGACCGCGGGCTCGAGCTCGCGCGCCAGGTACAGGGCCGAATGCTCCCTGTGCCTCCCACCTGGTAGAGAGAGAGAGAGAGACGCGTGCGGCTTCGCTCTGCGGGCCTGGACCCATCGGTAGGAAGGAATGAAGTGAGAGTGATGGTTGGTGTTTCAGTTTCACACTCACGAGCGCTCAGCGGCCAGGTGTGCCATTTCAGGCCGAGCTCCATGAGGCCACACTCGTGTCGGTTTAGGCAGCATTTGACGCCACTACCCAGGTCTAGGTGCTTGATTTCGGGCCGGGTGGGGGTTCTGCTCTGCAAGTGCTGCCGTTGGCAGGTTGCGGCAAAGTGCTCTATGGTTTGGGTGGTCCAAGCTGTTCGCCCTGTCTCAGCAGGTGGTGGACTTCTTGTCTGTGTACAGCATCCCTCAGGAAAATGTCGTCAGTGCCTTAGATCATCCGTCGTTTCCTTCGTGACAGCGCATGAGATGCAAGACACGAGAAGGAACAGCCGGCAACTTGACAGGTTTTCGGACGCCGTCCTGATGGTCGCATCACTGGCGAGGCTGTGACTCTTGGAGAGACTGTATCTGTTGCGTGCGCAATGGTCCGCTGAAGGCTTACGTGATGTTCCGCAGCACGGAGGAGGCTGAGAATGCGCTGAACTCCCTGCAGAACGGGGAGATCCAAGGTCGCTACATCGAGCTCTTCCGCTCCACGGAGGCAAACCACCAAAAACGCACATTTAAACCCTGCAGTACCGGAATTTGTGCATCTTCCCTTGCACCTAGCGCAGGAAGACTTTCAGCGAATGTCTGGTCTGCGCCTCAATTCTGGCAGCATTATAATAGTGTAATAGTAACCATCGGCCCAGCCACACAAGCTTCAACTACCGCAGCCGTCGCCACCACGAGTCAATGGGACCAATGCTAGGAGATGGTGAGAGTGGCTTCGGAGTTTCTCAACTTGTTCGAGTCGGCAGGGTGGGCGTTGCTAGTTGCTGCTGGGTTGATGGAAGTGGTGTTCGGGTCGCAGCTACGGCAACAACACGGCTATTGCCGGAGGTCAGGGCATGACAATCTTTTCCTTCCTGCGTTTGGACAAAAAGCCTCCTGTGTGTGCTATCCGAGTTTCAGCTTCCGTTTCCGCGAAGCCTTGGACAGCCCAAGATGGTCCGAGAAAGCAGGCCCCAGATCAAACAGAAAATGACAAACAATAATAGAAACAACGGCAACCGCGACAGCAAAGTCACCACAGGAGTCATGCAACTACGGAACAATGCCACTGCTCCACTGCATACTGCTACCGCCTGTGGCTAGTTCTGCTAGTCACGTACTCACTTCAAGTGTGCTGGATCTCGCCGGAAGAGCCCGCGAGGCCTAAAAGCTGCTGCGCCAGCTGCTGCCGACATGGGCAAGGCAGTTCGTAGCACAGATATCATAGTGGCGTCTTATCCAGTACTGGTTGATCCTAGCCCAGAGATGGGCATGGAGGACTATTTGGTGATGAAAATCAAACAGATCCAGCGCAGCGGGCAGGAAGCAAAGGACTGCCAATTGTAAGTGTAAGCTCCTCCAGCGGTTAGAACCTCGTCAACGCTTGCCAGGATGCCTGGTACCGATACTGCGAGAGCACACGTACCGGCAATCACGATCCTGCAAGACACACCCCAGAGCCTTGATCCCGGTTTCTTCGGGCTGTGAGGGGCACTCTGAGAGCCTGCGACTGCACCATACTGCACCCCAGGTCCCTGAAGGCTTTCATCGAGGTAGGGTCCCACTCTGCGACGGGAGTTTTGTTTGAAGTGCTCCGACCAAGGCGTATGAGAGCGGACAAGCCCCCGAGCAAGCCGCGCAGAAGGTGAGTGCAGGTCTCAGAGCCTGAGGTGGCCAAGGAGGTGTTCCGAAAGACGCATCCTGTGTATACATGCTCAAAGCTGAAACCTCCTGCTCCGCTCGCCACCCTGCCGAGTTCAGCTGTCGCATGTTCTGCGACTGAGAGGGGCGCAGATCTCAGTCGAGGTGACCTTGTAACGATAGCACACGTTGAGCGACAGCTTCCTTGCATGGCCTACAGTCAAACCAAGTTGCTGGTCCTTGTAAGGTCCCCTTCCAAGCAAACGTGGATCATGTAGTTCAGTTTTTAGCAGACTTTGGCATCGACAGGTCTGGCTCTCAGTGGTTCCCATCACTCAGTACAGGGAGTAGTTCGAACGTTGAGTGCTCGAGTGAAGATCTCTGCAGAGCCAATTGAGGTCACGTGTGACGATGGCACAAGGTGTCGGCGGCTGGATCCTGAAGGGCGTCTGGGCTGCTGCACATAGACTTGTCTACAGTTGCTTGTCACCAAGGCCGTCCAACGGGAGAGGCTTACGTGCAGTTCGGAAGCGGCAGCCTCGGCTGGTACGTGTAGACTCTGCACGGTCACCGTCACACACAACGTGGAAGGCTCAGAAATCTCGACAGCATAGACATCAGCCTAGCCGTGCAACTAAAATTCAACGCAGAGCGAGGATGTACTCAAAGCATGTGAGGTTCGCGGGAATGCTTGGTGATATGTCAGGTCACTTTGGTTTTTATCTGCATTAGCAGCTCATCAGCACCTGTGCCTGGCTGCCGGGCGAAACCGATTGAGTTGTTGACCAACCCCCTGACCACGCCCGCAATCTCAGTTGCTGAGTTGCCGATGCAGTTGGATGTTGTAGCTCTGTTTCCCCACGCTGATGCGGTGGTTGCATTTGGGATACCTGGAGACCGCCTCAATATCTGCTTCCCTTCTGTGGCTGGTGTGCTTCGATTTGATGATGCTTGGAGCCCGCCTGGCCAGCTCTGTTTCCCCTTCCCGTCGCTCCAGCCTAGGCCGCAGAGCTTTCGTCCCCGGCCTCACAACTCAAGTTCGACCAAGGTGTGGAAGAAGCCGAGAGGGCACTTGCAACGAAGCAACGCCAGGCCTCGTGCGGGTGGGCTTTGAGAGTGGCTCGAGATTTTGTGGGACATGTTTTCGATTCAAGCTTCAGTGGGTACCAGGCACAGTTTGCAGTGTGAAAGTATTTCTCATTCGGGCTTGTCCCTGCCCCAAGCCAGAGAAGTCGCTTCAGGAGATCCTCGGCCGTTACATAGAGCTGTTCCGGCTGGATGCCCTGAGCGACACAATGGAAAAGTCATGAGTGTATCATGAAACGCTGTTGTGTTCTGGAATCTGACGTAGCGACAGCAGTGGTGAGAGTGGCGGAGCCAGTGGGAGTGCTTGATCATGGGTCTCCCTTGTGGCCTGCATTGCCGGATGTCCTGCATTTTGTGTTGAAACATATCTGAGGTCGTGTCAAGAAGACTTCGACAAGAACGTTCCCGGCAACGTTCCCTACTCCATGGGAAACATGCCGGGAGGAGCTCTTGTTGTTTTGTCTGGCCCCGGGAAGCACGGCACGAATGGGTGTAACTTTGCCAACGTCCCAGTGACTGGCCTTAGGTTCTGACCCCCGGAAATCAGTAGCCTTTCCCCACTTGGCTCCTCGCCGCCAGGAGGCTGGAATCAGACGGCAGTGCCACCGCCCATGATGTCATCTCCGACCCCATCTCCGCTTCCGCTTACGTCTGGACCGTCTGGAAAGGACACATCGAACTTCCAAGCACGCGCATGTTGTGTCGACGTGCAGACTGACAATCCTGGCTGCTATCTTTTGTGTGTTTGATGAGGCGTTTCGAGTTCTGTTTCACATGCCTGCACCACCTAAGTGTTTCAGAGGGTGTACCACGAACTCTCTAAGTTAATGGAGTGTTAATATTAAGGCTGTGTCCTTGTGACCAAAACACGTGCCGAGTTGTAGCTGCATTTGCCTTATGTTGGCGCTTCGCGAAACTCTGCTGACATCACAGCAACTGTCCAACTTGCTGACGGCCAACCAGCGATATTTGAGCACGTTCTAATGAATTGCCGTGATCGCGCAGGCTGCCACACGTAGCCACAGTTTCAGAAACTAGTGTTCAGCAGCAATATCAAACCGGAAGCCGATAAGTTAAATGCTCGCACGGCCTACGAGGAGGAGCTCGTTGCGCAAGTCAAGAAGCGCGGAGTCCGAGGGGCCAGGGGGTAGTAAAGATTGCCGGGGCATTTTGCAGCTGTGGCTTGTTGCCGAGACGAAATGCTCGAAATGCTTTGAGCACTGCATCCTCCCAGGATCCAGCGCAACCATGAGGATGGCAAGAGCAAGTGGGAGGAGTACTGCACGGTGCTTCGTCCAGGTCTTACATGTGTTCCATGCCAAGTCGTGCCTGCCTGGCAGGCGACGCCATGTGACATCTGAGTCACACTCATCCGTTGTTGTTTGCAAGATAAGGCACTGGCAACCGGGACCCTGCCCGGCACACGCCGCAAGCGCTACAGATGTTCCTGGAGGCGGGTTTTCTCACAGTAAACGGTCGGAGAGGAAGGCGATCGAGGCAGGCTGACGGTAGGATGCTTCTGCTACAATGCGCTGCATGGTTGTGGTGGATGAGAATAAGCGGGCGTGTATGGCAAGTTCTGATTGCAGAGGCCTTTGAAAAAGGAGTGATGCCGACAGAGCCGCCGCGGTCTCAGGTTTGAGTGGAATCCGTAGGTGCCACCTAAGATGAAGCTCCGACCGACGGCTTGAGTGGGAGCCAGGGCTACCTACCATGAACACACTGCATTGGAGAAGCAAGCATGTTGAAGCAGGATCTACGGCAAAGTTATACGTCTGCGTGGGGTGGCCTCTGGCACGTTTTGAGGGTCCGAGCTTGAGCCAAGCATTTGGTCATGCAGCATGCTTTTTCATGCATGCAAGCGTCCTAGCATAGCACAAATCTGGAAGACTGCTGGGTAGGGCCCGTTCGAGGTACCGTTCCAAAGCGAGCTGTCAGACGTGGTGTCCTTCCTGCCAGCACCTCGATTTTGGCACAGGGAGCCTGCGCATCGAAGTTGAAGTTGGGCTTGGATTGTAGATTCACTGCGGCTGGCTGCTGGCTTCTCTTCCCCGTCCATATAAAGGATCAGTTGCCATCCAACCAGGAGCGTTGCAAGCGTCCGAAGTTCTGTCTAGGGCGGAGTACAGCATCGACGAGAAGAGCATCGTGATGGGCCGCGGGGCCGATGGGAAGAAGACCGGCGAGGCAACTGGGGATCCAAAATATCTCCGCCAGAGGCAAAGTGACGCTTCCAAGTGTTTGCAGAGGCCTATGTGATCATGCCCTCCGTTGAGATTGCTGAAAAGGCTCTCGAGGCCAACCGTTCCGTTGCGAAATGTTGCGAATGAGGTGGAAGCAACAAGTGCACAGCACTGTCAGCAATAGCAGTAGCCAGTAGCCCTTGGAGGAGAAGCAGAAGCAGGAGATACACGGCCGGTACATCGAGCTCTTCAGGCTTGGCTTTCGGGTATGGGTTAGGCGCAGACAGTTGAACTTCGCGTTGCATGTCGCAGGAATCAACCAGTAATTTTATCGCTAATGCGAGGCCGCCTCGCAATGGTAGTCGAGCGAACCTCCCCCACCCCTCCCCCCCTCCTCCCCGTCATTTTCCTGGTCTCTTCCCCCCCCCTCCCCCTCGAGCGCTACAGCCACTATAGTCTCCATTGTAGTTCCACTACGAACCTACAAGTTCACAAAACAAAAAGGAACTGACATCGAGACTATGGGTATGAAGAAAAGGAGCTGGTGCGCTGCTCCTGCGCGCTGGGCTGCGAAAGCAACAAACTAGGGTTTTCGGGTTCCAGGACGTATACAATGTTCTTGAAAAATAGAACGGTAGATTCGACCGAACCCCCCCCCCCAAATCACGCCACTGGGAGGGGGTAGGGGGTGGGTTACTCTACTGTTAACCAGCCAAACTCCTCGAACCCACGGATGAAAACGCCTGGGGCCTCCGGCCTCGGCGGATCTTCCGAACATGCTTACATGAAGCGGCTGAACATTTATGTATTCCCTCATGCGAACTTCTCTGTGCGACGTCGGCATCTGCCGCGTGGAAACGAGCTTGATGATCTCTGAAGCCAAGAGTGTTCTGTTGCCTGCTTGTGCGGTTGCCAGAACACAGAAGACCTAGACTTCCCCAGGGCCTCGCTGGACGATTGGGACGAATCGAAAGCCAATAGCCCAGAAGGTGCCAGGTGCTGTTCGTAGTTTCTTGTCGATGGTGGTTCAGTTTCAGAGTAAGGGTTCCGGACTGGCAATTGGGCGTGGGCCTGTAGGACTGCCTTTGCCATACGGCAGCCCGAACTACAAGGTTCACCACGAAGCCTTCCTCCGCGGCAGCCTCGGCATGGACACTGGCAGCTACGATCACCAAAGGCATGCATTCGGTCTCAGAAAGAAGGCCTTCACGGGCTTGCCAGCTGTGGCTTTCGCACGCACCTTCTCGTCTCCACAAGAATCACAAAGAACAGCATAATATCGAGACATGAAGCTGGTCGGCTTCCAGATCACAGGCAAGCCCAGTGGTCTGTGCTTTATTTGAGGCATGCATGGCGGCACGGCAGACGCTATCAACAAGGAAGCGTTGGTCGCGGAGGACACTTCAAGTGTCGTTTGTGTCCTACGCAATGGATTTGCATTGAGTCATACCGTGGCATAGCATTATGGCTGGACATACTGCGGTGGATCTACTGTTAACTGCTTGAAGTTCTGTGGACTGACGACGGCTCAGTCTCGTCCTGTTCATAGTGCGGCTTACTAAGCAGAGCAACAGAACCTGCAGAGACCGCAGTGGTGCCAAGCCCTGTTACCCGAGCGTAACGCCGGACATAGAAGTCATGCTGTGAGCACTGTGAGCAGGTGAAGCACATCCAGCGATCCAGCGAGGATGGACGTGCCAAGTGGGGGCCTTTTGCAGCATGGTGTCAAGGCTTCATGGTCTGAAGGGAGCGATTGTCAGCGAGTTTCGTTCGGGTGAATCTGGGCTCGCCTTATACTCTCCAACAAGGCTTGTGACATTGGGAACAACAGTGGGGTCGAGTCCATACATGTGTTGCAACCGCGGCTGGGTGACATCAAATCGGGAGAGGTGCGGATGTATATGTGACGGCTTCGAAGACTGCCTGGAACAAACGGCAATACTCGTAGAAGACGGCAAGGTTGGTATCAAAGGACATGACCTGTCCTTGTTACAGCCTTTGCCGCAACGCGGGGATTTGAACTTGGGGAGTAGTGCCAAAACGAAGGTGGGAGCAGTTCTGCGACACCCTCCGCACGGCCAACCGTGATCCGGTGCGGCACACCTCCGACACCTTGCCCTGGACTTGGAGTTCCTCACGCTATTCTGGTGCCCGCCGTGTTGCCGGACCGCCGAGGCGTGCTTTTGCGCAAGCCAGGAACTCGATTTGAAACACTTCGGCAGAACCTGCAGCAAAGTCACACCAAGGACATGTGCAGTCTGTGACATGCATAATTCCTGCACGACAGTCCTTTTGTTCGCGGCGACAGTTTCATGTCCTACTCGGCGCCCGACAGTTCAGTAGATTTCACGACGTAAGTTCTCAGGGCTACAAGAACGGCGAGGACTTGGACACTGTCGCCAACAATTTGGGTCGACCGGCTCAATCTTGCCATTGTCGAAGCCGCATAAGACCTCAATCCCGAAAAAGCACTGACTTCTTGACCCTGCATCTGCAAAAGGGTGCCGCGGGAGAAACTCTGTGGATAGCTGTCTCCGGCAATACAGCAGGGTCCAATCCGCGAGCGGAAGCCCGACTCGCTGAGGCAAGGACAGCCCTGTGGTCCGGATGCGCGGAGTTTTCTCCTCAGAGTTCGAGCATGACCGGCATGCCCAGTGCCTCACTGACGCAATCTTGGAAGGTGGTCTCAGTGCAGGTCCGCTCCAGCACAGCACTGCATGGTACCGTACTCTGGTTCCACAAGACAAGCTTACATTTCCAACCCACACTTTTACTGGCCTTCGACATGCATTCATACATCTCCAGAAAGCCCCCTCAGCACGACCCGTGCTGCTTCCCACAGACCCAAGCCCCGACTTCCACAATTTGAAAGGTGCCCTTCCAAGCGGGTGTGGAGGACATTCTCTATTTCCTGAGCGACTACAGCATCCGCGAGCATCCGGCCTCAGTTGTGCAAGCTGGAAGGGTCTTGGCATGTTTTGGCTGTTTCGGTGATAGTCGTGCAGAACATGTGAGGCTGCGGTCGGGGTTGCGGCTTACTAACTTTCCGTGACGTCAGGCGAAAATTTGCGGATACGCCCAGAGAGAGCGAGAGAGAGGCCGCCTGCTGCAGGTAGGGACTAGGCCTTAGAGGGCGCGGGGACGAGGCTAGCCCGAACCCGTCGGAAGGAAGGAAGAGAGATGCCGCCTGTGAAGTTCTTCTAGCTCTGGGTATGGGCTGTCGGGGATGAGCGCCGAGACCCCCTTGGCCGCTGTAGTACATAGAGCTCTGGCTGTAAGCGCAGAACGGTACTGATGCTGTTCGGAACCTCAACACATGCTCATTTATGAAGCCTTGGATGAGGCGCATTACTTCGGCAGTCCACAGTTGTTCGTTAGTGGCTTGCCCTTTTCCAGAGTCATGTTTTTATCACTACCAGAGTTTGTGCAACTGAGTCCTGGACTGCCGTAGTAGCCGTGCCTGTGTGATGTTGTACTTCCTCATGCGCCTGGACTTGAAAGTCATGACGGGAAAGGGATGTTTTGCTTGTCTTGCCACTCCATTTGACACGAACTGGGCTGCTCGTTCTCGTGATTTGTTCATGAACTCTCGGTTGCTGCTTCATGTTGTGCCATAGAAATATAGTCATCGTGATCTATCTTGGAATCACGTGGCAAGGTAGTGGGACTGAATGGGACTGAGCTGCACTCGGGGATGTAACTTAATGTTAACCTCTGTTTTGGAGTACTTTTGTTTCGCCATCGGACATATATTGGCAATGGGAAGCCCCATTCGATGTTCATTAACTTTTCTGTGGGAGGCTTTTTGCGGGTCAGAGACGTGTTTTTTTTGTCTATGTTGCGGCGGCTCTGCCGTCGCAGCCTTTTCCCTGAAAGCGCCCCCATGTCACATATGGGTGTGCCTGGAGTGCGGGGGTGGGGGTCGCTCCTCCACCTCGTGCCCTCGCAACAGAAGATGTACAGGCTGACAGCCAGACGACTAGTTGCCGCTGAGGCTACAGCAAGCGAGGCCCTTCACGGGACCACTTCCCTCAACACTCAAACGGCGTCAGCTATTGAAGCTAAGGCAGGGAAGGTGTTGGCTGAAGCGCTCATGTCCAGATTAGTAGCAAAGACATAGCGTGATCCCCGTACTTGTGGCACTGAGATTTGCGACGAGGTAGGGGTGGGAGGAATAAACTGCGGGCATGTTTCCTGCTCTTGGCCGCAACTTTGGAGAAGTCTCTTTACTTTGCCCCAACGCGAGCGGAGGTTTAGGGCGGTTCGCCGAGGCACGACATCACCTTCATGAAGAGGCCTGACGGCCGGCACATGGGCGAGGCTCACGCTGGCGTCATGCAAGAGTGGGACATCAGTTGCTGTGCTCTTGTGCCTGTGAGCTTCTGCTCTTGGAAGAGTGCTCCTTGGGCAGGCGATCGTCGTGTTTCCCAATGCCCAGCTCGCTCAAAAGGCATTAGCTCACCACTCAGACGAGGGGCAGCCTGAAATGGGTTGGGTACTGGCAAACCTCTTGAACACTGGCTTCGGATGTCGGGTGCGAGGATGAGAAGCAGCGCCAGGAGATCCAGGGCCGTTATATCGAGCTCTTCAGGCATCTGAAGATCTCTGGAGGCTCCAAAAGAGCTGCTCCGTCCCAAATGCGGCTCCGCAGGTCGAGCCACGGTGAGCTTGAGGAGGCCCGGACGTCGAGGCTCCCAGGAAGACTCCGCGGTCTGGAGTGACCCTGCACCTCTCGGCAGACCTCGGCACGTTGCTGAGGATGACGCACATGCCGCCGGCACCGCGCAACGCAGCAAAGGATGCTGCAGCTGTCGCCTCAGCCAACTTGTTTTTGTCGAGTGCGAGTTGTCATTCGATGGCAATCGCATGCGAGAGGGCTGGCATGCAAGGCACTGCCATGCCAGTTTAGGCTAACCTGCCAACGTATTCGGCACGACAGTCTGTTCCCCTTTCCACACCATGTGCTCACATCGGCTGTCGCCACATCGCAAGTGTACCACACGACAACAACTGTCTCACAAATTAGTGTTGCCGACCCCTGATGCCCAGGGTTGGACCGGCACCCCGAACGCAGGCAGCGGCTACTGTTTAATGGGTGATTGCGGGCGCTCGCATGCGGATGTCGAGATCTTGAAGGGCTGTTTGGATTTCCGCCCGTAGAATGCTAAATCAGGTTGGGCTCCGGACTGGGGTGCCTGGGGCTGGGGTCCCAGCTTCTGACCCTGCGAAGATCCTCTGCCCTGCCCTTAACATGGACTCCAGAACTCGTTTCGAGCAAGGTGAGGTATCGACCGATCCCTCCTGGGGGGCCAAGGGAGGTGCCATGCCCGCAGGTACCGGGCCCCACCGGCATGTGCTTCTGAGGTATCGGAATGGGTTTGGCGGCTGTGCGCTTCGGGGAAGCTTGAGAGTTAACATTCTCATATTCTACACAAGCTGTGGCTGTACAAATCTATAGTCTATAGTGCCATGACCTTCAGTTGCCACAGCTGCCAGGTATAACTGGGCGACCAGCGGCAAAGGCCCATCGAGCCAGGGTAATGCAATAACTGCACTAGGGTTTTGTGGGCTTCGGGCAGGACTTCGGACACTGCGCAACAATAGCCTTCTGTCAATGATAGATAGCTTACTTAAGAGCGACGGATTACTAATTGCATGCCTCCGAACTGCCCTGCTGTCGCAGGACTCTTTGGCGCGTCTGCAGGCTTCCGTGGATTTGGTTTGAATTTCAGAAACTGTTGGTCCTTTTGCTTCCGAATGTCGTTTGCTTCGCATGGAGCTCTATACCATCGGAAAGTTGATGCGACGTAGCGGAAGCTCTGCAACCTGGACCAAATGCCAAACTGTTACACACTGTCCAAGACTGATACCAGGTGGAGCTGGACCATACACGAGACAGTGACCCAGCAACTGTCAGGACCGCCCACATTGAAGCCTGGCCCAACTTCGGATGCCTTGACCGCTTTGTGGCAGGAGCTGTCCACCTTCCAACCATGCATCAAGGGATCCCCTCCAGTGAGGATGGGATCTTGCATTGGAGCTGGGGGGAAGCAGCCAGGTTGTTTTCCTCGAGCTCGGAGGTCGGAGCAACGAGCTCAAAGCGTAGTGTAGGGCGCTCGGGCGCACGGACTCGGCAGAAGCTCCAAAAAGTGAGCCCATCCAGTTCAAAAAGTGTTCTGGCTTCTCTTTGCTGTATCATGTCTCCGCTCTACAAGTGGCAAGCTTGTCCTTGGCAGGTCAAGCCGAACGGAGGCCCGACATCCGTCTCACATCGGGGGTTGGACTCCACTTTAATGTTCGTGCTCAGACCGCGACGTGGTCACCATCACTTTCGGAACTGGAGAGATCAGCGGAATCTTCATGAAGGAAGGTCTGCTGCAGTACCTCTGAGAAGGTAGCTTTCCGGAGCGAGTATTAGCGGCTTATTGGCGAGTATCCATCCTTAGACTCTAAGGGGTTTGGTACGTACATGCACGGTGTCTCGCCTTTGCAAACTTGCTGTGCCAGCGTGCCAATTCGGTTCGGAGGCAGATGTTGTAGGGCACTTGAACAGGGCACCAACAATGGCAAAGATCAACCAATGGCCATCCAGACTTCCACATCCCATGCCAGGACAAGACTCTGTCTGTGACGAAAAGAGCACACTCAGCAAGCTTCCGATCTCTTTAGATTGAGCCGATGGCGACTTGCTGTGTGACAGAGATGGAACCAGCGCCGCTTATGACGAAACACGAGTCTATAAGCAGAATGTCCACTCATGATCTTGGCGCTCCAAGCGACGAGCTTCTCCGCAAGTCCTGCGACCACTCAGCCTTCCGACTGGTGGCGCCCAGGATGCTCGGCTGCCAAGAAAGGGCGGATAGTTGGGGAAGTTGTTTTGCTGGCTGAGTTTCGCTAGAAATTGTGAAGGATACTGGACGAATGCGCGAATCTTGGTGCGAGAAGCATGCCGCTGCAAGCCCTCCGGAGTCGCACAATGCGCACGACGCCCACACACCGGAGTCGTGTTGCCGCAAGCATGCCAATCCAGGCTTTGCAGCGAAGCATGGGCACCACAGCCTTTGATCCTTTCCATTGCTATCATAGGAGAGATTCCATCGTGTGCTCTGAGCCGCCTCCGACCTCACCTCACTTTGATGAGATTGCTGTGACACAAATCATGTCCAACGATTTCGAAGTGGACGAAGATGGCTTGCTCCATCTGGACGGCGAGGATGCCCTTGTGAGGAAGGCTTCTAGCAGGATCGACGAAACTGGAACGCAGACATCCAGCGCTCTCTGGAAGGACTTGTACTGGTAGAGTAAGTGGAGACCTCTTAACAAGACAGCCCGCAACATGGAGTCTCGTGCAGGACCCGGAGCAAGGAGTCATTCTTGTCGACTGGGACGACACTCTCTTCGCCACCACCTGGCTTGCTGGAAAGAGCGAGTTCAAATCCTGGCAGCGGGAATGGGTCTCCGGGGCACCGCCAAAGCTGTCCGAAGAGGACGCACGCGACCTGGCGGAGCTGGACAAAGCCGCTCGGGCCTTTCTCTGCGCCGCCTCTGCCCTGGGCCAGGCCAGGCCCTGCTCCCACGAAGGGGGCGCCCAAACCGAAGCCCCTTTAGCTCTACTACACACATTTTAACGGGAGACGAACCCAAGGCCTCGACTTCGCCAGCCGCCCAACTGCCCCCAAAGCGAGAGGTCGTTTGCGTCACGCTCTCCCGGACGCCCTGGCAGCACAACACCATGAACCCTTGCTTTATTCGTGGGGTCAGGCTATACAGATCATGAATCGACCATGACTGCGAGGAGTCATGAACGCCTCGGTACTTGCCCTACCGTCAATCTTCATGCATCTTCATGCCATCTCATGCCCAACATGCCCAGCAAAGAATTTGAGCCGTTGTGGCTTTGGCTTTGCATCCCTGCATGTCCTGGGTGTGTGTGTGTGTGTGGAAATCCGGAGGTCAAGCACCGAAGCCCTGATAAGAAAGGAGCCCCCCACGAACAGCTCTGAGGAAGGCCTTCATGCCCGAACTCGCCAAAGCATGGGAAGAAGCAGGCGGGCTTGGCAGGGCCTGGCTTTATTTTCGTCTTTGCTTCATGCTGATGCCAAGCTCGGATGTTCCAGGTGTGGAGGTGATCTACGCCAGTGAGGTGATGCTACGGCGGCATTCTTCAGGCCATCAACAAAGCGAAGAGAGCGAAGAGAGCAAAGTAAGAGCAGAATGTATTGGGCAACAGGCGGCGGCGAATGCCGCCACGCCTCCGGGCCGGGTCTGGTCGAGCAAGAAGTGGACTTGGCCGAAAACTTCAGGGCTTTGTCAAGCTTTGTTTATTTAAAGACTTGTTGCTGCTGTGAGGCTTTGAGGAGCCGCTTTGGGTCTTGTAAAGATGACATACAGGAATCCGGACGCCTCGCGATTCTGTAGGCAGGGAGGTTTCTTTCAGATTTTCCTTCAGGGGTTGTGCTGCACTCGAAAGGCGCACGAGTTTGGAGGGACCGTGCTCAAAATCGGAGTTAATTGGGGAAAGCCTGCTTCGCATTGCTTCGCAGCTTCTTTGGACGAGTCTGATCTGAAGCAGAGGTAATCCTCATGGGCCAGTCAATCAAGAAGAAAGAGACGGCGATGAGGCGGGTCATCAACAAAATCTATGGCAAAGGGAGCTGGAAGAACGTGGTCAGCATCGGAGACGGCGAGGCCGAGTTCAACGCACTGCGGGACATCTCCTTCAAACACACCAACCCAACGAGTGGTGTGACTGGCAGCCAAAAGCGCTTCCGTATGAAGGCCGTGCAGATGTTGGATTCCCCAACCTGTAATGAACTGACAACGCAGCTACAGATCCTTCAGGCCTGGATGCCAGCCCTGATGCACTTGGACGATGATTTTTTCCTGACCCTTAGCGATGGCGAGGAGGATATCCTTGCCATGCACAACATCCTCCTTGAGCGCCTCGAAGGCCAAGGCCAAACGAGCTGAGGTGTTCCGGCCAAGTGCCATGCGCCACAACTAGTAGGGCTTCGCAAGAACCCTGCCTGATTCCTGCGCCTTCCTGCCAGCAGCGCGGCTGGCGTCATTCACGAAAGCCCTTTTTTTAGTGCTGGGGAGGCTTTGCCCGGAGGGTACGTAGCGCCAGGAGCCAAGACTTCAAAGCACTTTACCCTGCAGATATCATGAGTCGGAAGCCCCTTCGGCTGGCTTGATTTTCAGAATTTCAACCCTTTGGGCCCACGTTACCCCTTCGCGACTCGAGTCGCCACACTACACCGGACCTACCTTCATTGTACAGACGGGTTACGTGGGTCTCTTAACCTGTGGAGGCCACTGGCGCACTCTCAAGTGCACCAGTGAGGTCACCAGTGGGTGCGTGACATAATTCTTTATGGTTTACAGCGCGGCTGCCGGCGCCTGAAGCCCGCTTGGGAGAGAGCACCACATATCGTGCAGTGTTTGACAACTCACCATGAGGCAGGTTATTCAGACACGAACACATGAGTACTCTGTGCATGCATACTGCATACACAGAATGTATATGCGCTCCTGTAGGAGTACATGTAAGGCGTGAGAAAGCTTCATGTTGCTACGTTTTTTCGATCACATGTATGTATCTGTCTGTGTGTCTGTCTGTCTGCCTGCCTGTCTGTATGTACGTGCCCGTACGTACGCGCACGCAGACATACCCGTTTGCGCACGTTTGTATGATGTATGTATGGGTGGTTGTCAAAATTATGGTCCCTTTTTGGGTCCTTATTATAATACGGCACCTAATATTTAGGGTATCCCAAAAGGGACCATAATTTAGACAACTACCCGTATGTATGTATGTATGTATGTATGTATGTATGTATGTATGTATGTATGTATTTATGTGTGTATGTGTGTGTATGTAGTATGTATGTATGTATGTATGTATGTATGTATGTATGTATGTATGTATGTATGTGTGGCATGTATGTATGCATGCATGCATACATGCATGCATGTGTTTGTGTATGCATGTGTGTATGTACGTACATGTGTACATATATGTACTTACACATACCTATACGCACCCACACGCCCACACACACACACACACACACACACACACACTCTCGTGTATACAATCGTACAAGCGCACGACAGACATACACATGTACACTAGATGCAAGATGTGTGCGTAGTCCGAGGCGGATAGATGCATACGTGAGTGCACGAGTTCATGCATATCTACTGTGCACAAGAAACACACTCTCTCAACGACTGTGGCGCTCTACAGATTCACGGGAACTGCCCTGAAGCTGCGATCGAGTTGCTGCGCTTGGACAACCACACAGCAGATCTGCGCTCCCAGAGCCCAGTCGTTGCAGTCAGCTGCGGACACTCCCTCCAGAACTGGAGGGTTTTCCAGTTTCATCAGCGTTTCAATGGCCTATAAACTCGTGACTTCGGAGTGCCCGAAGAAAGCTTGGACCATCGAAGCCCCCAATGCGTGATTCGAGTTTGAAGGCATCGATACTTCGGTTGTCTTTGCTCGAAGCCATGAGCCAAGAAGTGGCAGTCGCAGGACCACATTTGTCTCGGCGACATCTGCACCCACGGCAATTTCATCTCGGTCACCGAGGCAAAGTCAACAAATTGATCAGGATGGAATCAAGGTTTCCTTAGTGGGAAGCTTGCTGCGAACAGGTGACGGCAACCTCACAAGCTAAAGTTGCTTGTGCCGTCCTGACAGTGAACCCTTGCAGCGTCCATGCATGGGGAGTTGAATACGCGAGGAGGTGTCGATATTGGGTGATACTCGTAGTTGGTACATGAAGAGTCGATGAGGTGTTAATACGGCCAGTCACCCACTAGTGCAAGGCTCAAGTCTGTGGGACGAGCAAGGAAGACCTATTCATGGTATGATATGGCATGAGTCATGTCCACCTATCTGTGAATTATCCACATCTGTGTCTAAACTCGTACTGGCTGCAGGAGACGGAGCAGCCTTTTAGCCTGGTACCCTTCGATGGCATCTTCGGGTGGCCCTGCTACAAGAGCTCTGGGCGGGCTTCGGGGGTTGTCTCATGTCAACTCGTTGCTTGGCATTCGGAATTGCAAGATTCCAATTTCGGCAGTGCATGGATGCCTAGCTTGATTCACTTGCGGCACGGCCTGGGTTCAATCATGACCCATAGAGCCTTGGTTGTCACTACGTGGCGCCATCCGGTCCCAACTACACAGAGGCTTGCAAGAGGCCACAGGTAATTTTTAAAGGAGTCAGAACTTTGCAGTTTTTGTGTCAACATGACCTTCCAAGCATCTCATCCGGCTAATTTTGCTCGAAGTCTTTCTAGTTTTGCCCGTCGGCTGCCATGCTTTTGGCTGGTCCGGGGAGGCTTCGTAGCGTACCGGAGCGGCAGTAGTACAGACGGTGTGCACGCGCCCTTCTGAACTTGATGATGTTCTCTGACCTTTGCCCAGTCTGGTGGCCTCAGTGGAGGTGTTTTGCGCTTGCGATGCCCATGCTGGTGGCAATGGATGGGCTTGTGTCCGCCTGTGCTGGAACTTCACTCATGGCGTGCATTCTATAAAGGACTTGACACCCTGTTCTCAACTAGCTGCGAAGCACCTTTTTTCGTCATGAGTCGTGCGAGCTGGCCGAAGATGATGTGGCTCTTCAGTGCAGGGGGACGGCGTGACGACCTACTCTGCTTCCTGTTCTCGGATGCCGGCGTTCCCCGTAGGGTTGATCAGCTTGGCTTTGAGGCACCCCGCCCCAGGTCCTCCGGGAAGCCAGCAGGGTTCAACTTGTGTTGCCTGGTCTGTTGTCTTTGTTGCAGTCAGTGTTGTGGTTCTGTTGATGCCAGCCCAACAAAAGGTAGGTCCCCTTGCTGAGCTTGGTGCCCTCGAGGCCCACGCAGAAAAAGGACAACTGCTCGAAAGCCAACGTCTTTCCATGATCCTCCATGCCTGATAAATAAAGGGCTTTGATCCCCGTAAATCCCAACTCCACAGGGACGGCTTCCTTTTTTGTGGTGGATGCAAGGAGGAGACACAGGGCGCAAGGATTCAGATACAACAAGGAACCTCCGCATCATTCCGCGTTTGCCAAGTGGTACGTAGAGCTCGCGCCGGCTCTTCTCCGTTTCCCTCGTAGAATTGTCGAGCCATGCACTGTTGGCAGCCATGCAATTGACATCATTGCCCACCATCTGTGGCCGTTGTTCGTCGGGTGTGTACGCAAGAAATGGTCGCGGCGGTTGCTTCTGGCGTTCAACCAATGATGCATCTTCCCGTTTTCAGGCGTGATCTCCTGACAGGTGCTGGTCGCGACCTTGTAAATCTTGAGCGTGCTTCGAATCATAAGGGCAGTGGTGGTTTCCAGACCAGGCGACCGACCGAGCCAGTTCTCAACATTCTACGCTGCTTCAGCCTGTGCGACTGGTTTTGACTGTAGCTGCCTCTATGGGCTGCTGCCACCTGACCTGCCTGACAGCCTGGAATTCGGTACTGCAACATACTGCAACCCTTGCGTTGTTCGTTGCAGGCCGCGAAGTAACTTGTGTGCAGGGAGCCACCGGTTAGTGACAGCGTGCGGACCACGTTGAGCCTTTAGCATAACTATAGCCAAACACTCCTGACAAGCCTTGCCTTGACACTGACGGGCCTTGTCATAATTGCGCGACAGTGTCCGGAAGCAATTTTGGCTTCACTGACTTGCTGGTGCCGGGCTCGCTGGGCCTGAAGTGCGGACGTCCGTGGACGTCATGAAAAAGATACGCGGTACTTGGATAAAATCGCCACCACGAGCGCCATTCACTTACTGACAGCTTGGACGTGCGGATGTTGGCCATGCCGCACCAGCACAATCCCGTCTGGTGGGCCGATGTTTCCATCTGAACATATAGCTTGCATCGCCAATTGGCCATTGCAACTGACAGCGGTAGTAAGCTTGATGTTGGGTGTGGGACCGGTTCCGACATGACTGATGACAAGACTCAATGGCTTCGCTGCCCAGTTGCCCTGGCCTTGCAGTGTTGTGCGATTTTCAGGTTGGGGCTGCCGCAAATGTCGCAGGCGCCACACTTCAATGTAGCTGGCTCGGAGGTCTTTGGGTCAGCTCGTCAGGCATGCATGCAGGCAACGGGGGTTGGCAGAGGTATGCAGATGAGTGTTCTCACGACAGCACGTTATGTGAGAGAGGTCGGGTTTGAGGTGCAGGGCATCGAGCTCAGACCTGAGACTGGCAAGGTGCTGGATTGCATGATCCGGGACAAGGAGTGGGCAACAGCTGAACTTCCCGGATCACTGCAGTGCCAGCTTTGTTGTGACTTGCGTTTCGAATTGCCGGAGGTTCTGAAGAAGAACTTGTTTTCTGTATTCCTGGCTGCCGACGATCGCGACGAAAGCGAAATTTCCTTCGGGGAGTGCAGGCCTCAGATGGCTCCATTGTGTTGGGAGTTTGGCAGAATGTGAATATGGTGGGCGCCATCGCGGAGATGTTGCCTGAAGCACACCGCCAGCGTTGCTGCGAGATTCAGTAGATTCCAGTAGACTTTTCAAAGCCTCCCGAAGCCTCAAGGTTCAAGAGTGACCGCATGGCAGACCAGCTGTTCTGGGTGCCGGTGTCGAACCCTGGCTACTGGCAGGACGGGCCTTCAACTTGATGCGGCGACTAACTTCCAAATGTAGCTTTGACTTCCGTTTACATCACGGAGGTCGAGATGGAGGATGTCGCAGTCGGTGACAAGCTCCAGGGCCTTTGCAACGGCAAATGTCAGGCTGGGCCCACAGCATTTCGCTGTAATTGCTCCGAGGGCCTGCAATCCAAGCATCACTCCTGTGTGGGCGGTTGTAGACATCCATTCACACCGACTATCCTTGAACAGGCGGCTGTGGACACTGGCACTTCGCTCCTCGCCGGGCCGTCCGATGTCGTCCGCACCGTGGCCGACATTGGTTTTGGGCCATGGGTATTGCGGGGCAGAGGCAGGGCTTGGCTCCTGCATGCTCCTGCTCCGACCTTCGCTACCCGTCGAGCCTTGCGGCCTCCTATCCCGCACAGACCCGAGCCTAGCCCTGCTCTGTTGCAGCTATTGCAATTTCTGTTCGCCCTTCCATCTGAGGCACTCTGACCAAGAGGCAGCTGACTAGACTGCCGTGCTATTGGTGATTGCTGACATGGACGGGACTTCTAGCGAGGTTGCCCTGATGCAACCTGGTAAGCTCTTGTTCCGGTCTGTCCGCCACTGGCCGCCATTTCGTTGCATGGAGACCTGTAAATCACGTGTCTTCAGCCGCATTTATCGCACCGGATCCGTTGAACGCAAATCCATGTAGAAGGCCTAGGGAAAAGAAGGCGCATGTAGAGTCCATCAGTTGGATCCACCTCACATGCTGCTCGGGCCAACGCCTCTCAGGGCTGTGCCGGCAGTGTCATGGCCCCCTGGCTCGTGCTTTTTGGTGGGAAGCTGAACCTGTCGCTCCGTCAGTGCCCTCTTGCGATACTGCAGGGTGCCCCACGCCAGCACTTCGAGCAAAGTGCGCTGTGCATCTGTGGTACCAGCAGTTCGAGGCATGTCCGAAGTCAAGGAAAACTGCTTTCTATCGGCCAAACCTGGAACACTCTAAGCATTCGAGGTCGTGCCGGTGCCGTCGCCTGCCTCGTCGCCGGCCTGTGCCGGAGGAGCCCAGCTTCTCGGCCTGTGGTCCAAACCCCGGGCTTCGGCCCTTCGGGAAGGGGAAGCTCCGTCTCGAGGTCCGCTGTGCTCAGCTCCGAGCGACGCCTGCGGGGCCCAGCGAAGACCTTGAAAAGCAGTGGCAGGCCACTGCTGAAGGGCTGCGGAAGGGTCTGGTGAGGAGAGTGCTCAGCCAAGTGATGTGGAGAAGGAGTACTACGAGCGAGATGAGCGAGACGCCGAAGAGGGCTGGGCGATCGATGTCTTGGACGATGACACGCATAGTGGCAGCAGTTGTGATTCTTTTTGCCAAGTAATGTCAATTGCAGCGGCCATGGAAATTTGATGCGTCGTTGTTCCTGTACATCTTGGACAGGTTGTTGAAGCAGATCCTGAGTCCGTCTCCGCGGCAATCCAGAGTCGTTCGGCCAATGCTCGGAGATAAAGTTGCATGGCTCACATTCTGGCTCCTTTCCCGCTAGCCCATCGCTGCCCATCACTACGTTTGAACAAGCCTTTCGGCTCCTCCAGCTCACACCGAGGTCACCATTCACTTCACGGCGAGAGTTGTTGATGGGGACATTTTCGAGACTACCAGGGAGGATAACACCGGACCTTTGAAGTTCCGAATTGGGCATGGCGAGGTCATGCGAGGGCTGGAAGAGTCAGCACCTCATCTGATTTCCTGTCGTGTTGTTGACCGCATGGTAAGGCGATGCTGTGATCCGCAGTGCACTTTGGCGTTGAGGTCATGAGCATGAGCAAGGGCGAGATCTCAAGGTTCTACATCGCCCCAGAGCTGGCATTCGGAGATCAAGGTAGAGATAAGGTGCCTCCGGGGTCTTCTCTGGAGTACGAGATCGAGCTCGTTAACGTAGTGGACATGGACCCGGACGTGGACGAGTTTAATGAAGATATTGAGATCCCAAAAGACTTGGACAAGATGGGCAAAAATGATGTCGGCGAAGGCGTCCAACCAGCCGATGCGGGCATGTGCGGGGAAACATTTGAAAGATGCGCTTCTGGACAGATTAAGCCATGCCGTGGTAGGTGGCAAAGATCCACTCGGGAAGTTCTATTGGGAGAGGCATGGCCAGGACCCGGACAGAAGAGACCACTCCGGACGACACGACCGATGCCATGTCACCAGATATTGTAAGACCATAAAGTCATCATTGATGTAATGCGCTCTGTATCTGTTTTGCTGGCTGCTGTGGAAGATGATGCTGCCTGCTGCTGATGATGGTGGTGGTGGTCGTGGTAGTGGTAGTGGTAGTGGTAGTGGTAGTGGTAGTAGTAGTGGTAGTAGGAGCAGTAGTATGATGATGATTGGTATTATCATTAGTATTGTTATTCTTTTCATTGCCACTTCTAGTAG